ATCTCTGGATACCAGATCCTGGGATCAGAGGGGTGGGGATTAAAGTCCCAGCGTTATGGCAGCTCCTCAGAGTGCCCCAAAGCATCACCTCAGAAGGTGAATGTTTCCATCTCAAACAGAAACAGTTAAAGCCATTATTTGCACGTTAATCTTCACAGTGTGACAACAGATCCTTCCCCTCAAAGCATCTGAGGAAATTACTGCAATTATCATGCAGGATATTGTACCAGTAAATATGGTGATCTTTCCTCTGGACATGATCCCAGTATCTGAAGGAAAAATCATCAGCTCGTGGAAAGCAACACTCTCTAAAGAATGTAACATAAAAATGCGTAACATCACCACCTAACTGAAAGTTTTCAAAGTACTTCAGAAAGAACCCCRGCATGACCTCTTCAGGCCACCCAAAAGATACACTGAACATTTTCTTCTTTGAGCTTCTAAAGGAAATATCCAAAGCACAGGCTCTGGCAGAACTGGGGGAGTTGAATGCCTGGCTTCGTGTGGRAAAGACAGAGGAACATGGATGGACTGGAAACATGTTTGAAGACACTGGTTACATATTTTATTCTGGTGGAGTAAAGGAACTGAGTTTGAATCTGGATTTCTACATTTAATGTGGAAAAAAAAAACCAACAGAGGAGAAATCAAAAGCACACATAGAGGCTGGACAGAGAACAGAGCGAGAGCAGCCCTGGGAGAAGGACTTGGGGCTGCAGGGGGGTGAGAGCCCCTGTGTGAGCAGCAGGGGAGGGGGGAATTCTGCCCCTCTGCCCTGCTCAGGTGAGATCCACCTGCAGAGCTCTCCCAGCCGTGGGGACCCAGCTCCTGTTGAAGAGGATCCAGAGAGACCAGAGCTGCTCCAAGGGCTGGAGCCCCTCTGGAGCCAGGCTGGGAGAGCTGGGGGTGCTCACCTGGAGAAGAGAGAGCTCCAGGGAGAGCTCAGAGCCCCTTGCAGGGCCTAAAGGGGCTCCAGGAGAGCTGGAGAGGGACTGGGGACAAGGGATGGAGGGACAGGACACAGGGAGTGGCTTCCCACTGCCAGAGAGCAGGGATGGATGGGATATTGGGAAGGAATTGTTCCCTGGGAGGGTGGGCAGGCCCTGGCACAGGGTGCCCAGAGAAGCTGTGGCTGCCCCTGGATCCCTGGCAGTGCCCAAGGCCAGGCTGGACATTGGGGCTGGGAGCAGCCTGGGACAATGGGAGCTGTCCCTGCCCATGGCAGGGGTGGCACTGGATGGGCTTTAATGTCCTTCCCAATCCAAACCAGTCTGGGATTCCACAGAAAACATGAAGGTGAAGGGTAACTTGTTAAGAGAGACAATGGAATGGARAGATCAAAGCTGTTAAAAAAAGGAGGAATAACAAAACAAAAAGAACAAAAGGGACATCAATAAACTCAGAAAACTGGCAGATAAGATTTCATGTGGAAATCATTTATAAGGAGAAAAGGATTTAAGAACAGCTGGCAAAGGAAGAATTGGAAATGAAKAGATTTAACTGCTACAGCAGAAGTTTTTATTGACCTCAGTCACAAGAAAGAGGTTACAAGAACATGAAAATGGGATCACACACATAAGAGTGAACAGTACAAACATAAAATCACAAAGCTCAAAGTAAATTTGAGATGTCTATACCAAAAGCCACAAAAGCAAGAGAAATTCCATACAGACTCTTGGAAGGAAAAAACAACTAAAATCTAATGCAAGGCTAGGGAAGAACTGGYCTAGGCTGTGTAGSAGATGGCAAACCTCCMACCCTGGATGATGGCAGCAGKTSCCACATTCCACACAGATCAGAGGTATCAGTAGGAGCTCCCTTGGCCCAGGGGCACAGGTGGCACAGGTGACACTGTAGAGCCTTTGCCAGACCTTTCCCTGCAGTTCCATGACCATGCAGAAATCCAAGTGCACCAGGACCAAGCACCTTTCTGAAGGTCAAACACCCTGTGAGTGAGCAGTCTGGGCTCAGGTCTCCTGAACCCAAACCAATGTCCAGTTGGTCAAAACCACCACATCCTAAACTTTCCAGAACAGGTCCCATCCTCCCAGTCAGGGTCAGTACCATGGCAATGGGACTGGGTTGTGGAGCATAAGTGGGGTACAAATGGCTTMATTTTACTAAAGCACCTCTTTGGGCATTTGTTAACTCTTAATCTGCCACTTACACCACAACCATGTTCATCTGAGCTGCATTTCACACCTGGCCTGGCTCAGAGGCCAAACCCCCAGGCTGCTCTCAGCCATTGGCAGAGTTAATGGCCATGAGCAACCCAGAGGAAGTAAAACTGGGATCTATTTGTCATGTAGGATATGAAACCTGCAATCCACAGATTTCAGTAGTGCAGGATGGGTAAGATGTGCCTGCTGGGGACATGATGCAATATATTTTAGGTGTGGTGAGCAACTGCCACTCCCAGGAGATCCTGATGCCTCCTGGGATGGACCCAATCCTCTCTTCCCATGGCCCTGAGAGCTTCCACTTATGATGAGACTCCTTTCCCATATCCTAGCAGAACAGCAAGTCCCACACAAAGCATACTTTGCTTGGGGACAAACKAAAGGATTTTTTAAAATAAAATCAGGGTATCTGGCGTGCTAGAGCTTTTCACTGGTATTGCTGGGGAAGCTGGGAGCAGCAGGCTCTGCATTGGGCTCTTGAGTGTATTATGAGATTAAAACCTAAGTGTGAATTTGGGGGAACAGGGCTGTAGTCAAGAAAACCTCTTTTGATTGTAGCCTTAAAGATGCATTAATGTCTCTCTGTGCCATTATAGCCCAGGCAAGTGGCTCTCAGGAAGAAAGGCAACAGTGACACACCAGAAGGCCCAGACTCCCCCCAGATCCCTGAGCTGGCTTGGCTGCCTGGAGGGAGACAGCACCCTGCACTAGAGGCTGGATCTATACCTAAACAAAAATGTGCCCTGGTGTAGCCTGTATACATCATGGGGATCTGATGAATTCCTGCTCAGAACTGCCAGGGTGGTGTCAGCTTTTCACCAAAAAAAATGTGGAGCTGCTGTCCAGCATGTCATGGTGTAGAACAGGTGCTTCGCTTGAGGAAGGAAAAAACTTCCTGCTCTTCAGCAGGGAAAAGTTCAGCTGAGAGGTGACAATCTCAGAAAGGACCAAGGCACATTCCAGGCCTTCCTCCTTCCATCCCYTGGCTCTGCAGCCTCAGGAATAGGGGCTTCTCTGATATCCCAGCCTGGAGCTTCTCCTCAGTCATAGCCCACGCAGAGCTGTGCTGGTATTGAACACCAGTTAAAACACTCTGGAGGAAAATCACCAGGGAACTCAGGGAAGAAAAGGAGAATAAACTGCTCTCCCTCCAAAGGCATTGCTGTCAAGTCACCCAAGTCATTCCCTTGTTCCTAACAGAGCATCTGCCTGGGGAGGGCTCCCCAGAGCCAGCTGGGGCTCCCACTGATGACTGCCTGGACATGGGCTGGTAGGTCCCCGAGCCTCGAGGACATGTGGCCAGCTGTGGCTCACCTGTACAGATGTGGGGCTGGGATTCACCTGTACAGATGTGGGGCTGTGGCTCACCTGTACAGATGTGGGGCTGGGATTCACCTGTACAGATGTGGGGCTGTG